GTTTCTTACAAATAAATGTCTGTTTGTGCCTTGTATTTAACCAACAGTGTCCATTGAAATTTTCATAGTTAACTTGCTAATGTGCCCTAATCTCACAGACTTCTTCACAGTCATTTTAATCCAATGCACCTTTTTGTTATTTAAACTTGTTAAATCACAATATGAGGAAAATATTGCACATTTTGATAACTTCCTGGGCATTGAGGCACCTGAGCTCTGAAATCCCATTTTCGTTCCAATATGCAAAGTTCTACTTCTGGTTGGAGCACACACTGCTGCCTGGCAACACTGCTGCCAATTGGAAGGCAGTGGCTTAACGTTGTCAGCCTGCAAAAATAAGTACTGTTCCTGGCAGTGTCTCAACGTAACAACTCTTTACAACAGATTCACAAAATGCAATTTTCTGGGTAAACTTTTCCACAAAGGTATTTCACCTTTTTGCCCACACCCCCCAAATATTTCTAGTCCAACGACACCTCCCCCTGCCCAAAAAAAATTGCTGTACTTGCCTATATCTTGTTCTGAGGCACATCCATTGTTTACAGCTATCCGTGGCTTCTTAATCCAATGTCTGCACGTGTGCAGTTTGGCCCCATGTCTTTGCTAGTAGACAGAAAGTAGAGGAGCCAATTTGTCCTCCAGCCCCATTAGTTTATGGAACTGCTCAGAATCAGATGCAGACATCTGGTTAGGAAGCCAGTAGATGGATGTAAACCATGCCACAGACCTTGGATCAAGATATAGTTTAGTATATAGCAGTTTAGGGGAAGGGTAGTCTAGGCCTACTTGGGGAGGCTAATCAAAATTCCATTTGAGGTTTACATTGACATTACATACACATTTGTGCAAATACCGTGCAACATAAATAATTGTAACTAGCATTTTTTTTTTATTCTAGAGGGCATCTGCTTTCTGAAAATATATCAGTGTTTGGGGTTTTGAAGCTATTTTCTAGCCAAAAATTCCGATTTTATCATGTCTGTGTAAATAGTAAGAAATTGCTCCGGACAGCAAGTGGTTAAGCACAGTGTTAAAATTATTTATACACTCAAAGAATGTATGGTATATCCTAAGTATTTTTAATTATTATTAGGTCAATATGCAGAATACCGGTTGGTGCCTCAGAAAATACAGAAGCCTCTAGATCAGCATGACAGCCTATTCTCTCTGTACTGGTTTCCTTTGCAGAAAATGTACTAAAAGTCATTAGTTTCCCTTTAAATGTGTAACTTGATTTTTGTTGAGAAAACAAAATCCTCTCCTTGTGAGGAGTTTTTCAAACCCTATTGCCTCTTTTTATCACCGTTTGTTTGGTATAAATTCACATTTGCATGCCAGTGACTTTCCTATGTTCTAAGTGGTAGGTTTCACCTGCTATGTTAACATGAGCAGTCCTAGAGTGGTAATCGGGGTAAAATCTCTGGGAAAGCAGTATGTAGACCCCATGAGCAGGATATTATATTTTAGGAGCATACTATACACATACAGAATGTCCCCGGTTGTTGCAATTACAAGAACGTCACTTTGATTTGTTTTTGTCCATTTTAGAGAATTATAGCTGGCTGCAAATTCAAATGTACTGTAAGTTTTAATAATATTTAATTTGGAAATAACATTGATATAGGTATGGTATATCAATGGTTCATGAAAAAATGGAGTAAGTCCTTAATTGTTAACTCTACTATAATTTCACCATTGTGAAAAAATTTATACTGCAAAGCAGGGCAGTGAAATAATCTTTGTAAATAGATTTCTCTAGCTAGTCCTTGTTTTTAGGTCAGCAGAACTATGTGAAGTTTCCATTATGTCCTACTTGAAAGGTCCAGAATTTCTTGATGCCATGATGTCCGTATATAGCTCTTTGAAATAAGGCAAATGAGAGCGCCTGGGAGTGTAAAGGGTGTAGGGGCAACCAATGTCTGTGTTACAGGTAGAAAGAACAAGAACTCATCGAAAAACAAAACATTTGGGACTTACTTGAGGAGCTGAGGGTCCTGACGGGGGGCCCCAGTGGGGTTGTGGCGGTCCGAGACGTATTCAGAGTTTCCCCGGGGTGAAGAGATAGATGATAAATCAATTTGTACTGAGTGCTGTGTGCCGAAGGGCTGGTGGGGAGGCTGCCTCTAGTCTTGATCGCAGTGTTGTTAGGACGCGATGGGGTGGAAGTGACAAAAGCTAGGAAAGAACGTGCACGGGGTGGTGGTGAAGGAGCAACGCGTTTCGAGGTGACCCTCTTCTTCAAGCTCAAAAGGTAAGTGACCTTTTGAGCTCGAAGAAGAGGATCACCTCGAAACGCGTCGCTCCTTCACCTAGTGGTGGTGAAGGAGCGACGCGTTTCGAGGTGATCCTCTTCTTCAAGCTCAAAGGGTAAGTTACCTTTTCAGCATAAAAGCCCTGTACTATTTGCATAGTTGATTATCTTTGTACCTTTTGTTTAGTGTTTCCTCTTAGCTTTAAAAAAAAGTGTATAAAAGGGGAGTTACCATTGAACTTCCTTTTATCTTTCTCTTGTGTCTGTGTTATATTATCCATTCCCTTTAGAAACTACCTTTCAGTGGCTAAATACTAAAGTATACAATACAGAAAGGTTTAACAAAGTTTTATACATTTTAGGTAGCACCATTAAAGGGTATTCTGTCAACGACCTGTGTGCTAAGACAGCAGGCCAACCAAGTAAACTTTCAGACGCCAAACGTGATCCTGAATGGCAAACACAGATGAAAGACTTTATACCTATCGCTTCCTCTGAAAGGTATTTTTTTCAACAATGTGTTGTTTTGCTGGTCAAACAATAAAACACATCCATGTAGTTTTATAATTTCGCGGAGCAAACCAAAACATGCAGCTCTTATATAGACATGAATGCTGACCTTGACTGTTAAAAGAACACTTTGTACTGATGTAGGAAGATAAGACATTATTTAAATTCCTCCCATTGCCAGCATATTGACTTATGGACAAGTTATGCTTTTCTGAAAGAATAAAGAAAGCGTGTGGATATAGCTGGTATGCAGTCATGCAATTTTCTTGCATCATGGGCAAGTTATGTTTGACAAACATAGCATATTCTTTGCAAACATATATAAAATGTGCTGGAAACTTGCAAAGCTCATAGTTTGCTAGGAATCCTTGTACACACACACACAAAATCTGTAGTGATGATAGACAGTGAAAGTATAGATTTGTATGCAACATTTGGTCAGCTCTGTTCCAATTACATGTTATGTTTCTTGACTGTACAGTACTGGACACCAGCAGATTCAGAGACGAGGTAATGCACAGGTATTACCAGTTGGTTGGACACATAGGAGTTGTGTTTGTTTTTTGTTTACCTTTACTTGTGAATCTTCAACTAAATTTCTCTCACTGTGGCCGGCCATGTCGGCAACTGTGCAGCTTCCAGATCGCATTGGGTTAGCTTGCAGCATTTTTGCAGATCGCACTGGACCGGAACATTAGTGCCTGCGTTCTGGGTGTGGGCGATCGCACTGTGGGTGAGGGGTGTAGCTGCGGTGCCACTGACTTCAATGCACCGCCATGCCCCTTCCCGTCCCTGAATGCAGGTGTTTTTTCGTTGCTAGATCTCATTGAGCTCGTCAATAGAAAAGTAGATCTCCAGATGAAAAATTGTGGGCGTCCCTGATCTAGAGGCTGGGGGCCATACCCAGTCTGCTATTGAATATTTTAAAATGCAATAGCCAATAGCAGTCTGCTCTCAATCAGCAGAGGAGGACCTCCTCTACTGATAGCAGGCAGTGGGCGGGTGCAGTAGCCAGCCTGTTATTGGCTATTGCAATTTGAAATATCAAATAGCAGGCTGGCTATTGCTCCCAGCAATGAAGTAAAAAAAAATAGTTAAACTAAAATTAAAAAGACTAAACATTTTTTTTTAAAGTTAAATAAAAATGCAAGTTAAATAAGATTTAAATTAAAAATACCCCAAAAAATTTGGTTATTTTATTGTAGCTTACAATTCACATTTTTTTTAATACATGAAACTAATTAAAATGTCTAATATAATGCATACAATTATTTAAAAAATATATATGTATATAAAAAAGTTGAGAAAAGTCGTTTTCAATTTCAGCCTGACAAATTTTGCTGCAGGAGGTGCGCTGCGGTGCTATTCATTTCAATGTATCCCAAATGCACCTTCCGTCCACAGTGTGATCGCCTGCACTGGAACACACGGTAGTGCAATGCCCTGCATTCCGTTCCAGTGCAGTGTGATTTAGTGCTGCAACAACGAATCAATTAAATCGATTATAATCGATGATGAGAATCATTGGCAATGATTCTCATCATCGATTAGTTGCTTTTCGATTAGTTGCAGCCGCTGCTCTGCTCCTCAGCTCTCCTCCCCGTCAGTGCTGGCTGCAGCCAGTCTGTGTCTTTTTCAATCCCCTCTGCTCTCCCCGCCTGTGTCGGCAGAGGCAGCAGGGACAAAGACTACTGCAGCCAGAACCAGCGGTGGAGGAGAGACCGCTGTGACTCTGCAATCCCCCGCTGCCCCCCTACCTCAGCAGCCGCTCCTTGTCTCCTCTTCCCCGGCCCTTGTCTCCTCTTGCCCGGCCCTTGTCTCCTCTTCCCCGACCCTTGTCTCCTCTTGCCCGGCCCTTGTCTCCTCTTCCCCGACCCTTGTCTCCTCTTGCCCGGCCCTTGTCTCCTCTTCCCCGACCCTTGTCTCCTCTTGCCCGGCCCTTGTCTCCTCTTCCCCGACCCTTGTCTCCTCTTGCCCGGCCCTTGTCTCCTCTTCCCCGACCCTTGTCTCCTCTTGCCCGGCCCTTGTCTCCTCTTCCCCGACCCTTGTCTCCTCTTGCCCGGCCCTTGTCTCCTCTTCCCCGACCCTTGTCTCCTCTTGCCCGGCCCTTGTCTCCTCTTCCCCGACCCTTGTCTCCTCTTGCCCGGCCCTTGTCTCCTCTTCCCCGACCCTTGTCTCCTCTTGCCCGGCCCTTGTCTCCTCTTCCCCGACCCTTGTCTCCTCTTGCCCGGCCCTTGTCTCCTCTTCCCCGACCCTTGTCTCCTCTTGCCCGGCCCTTGTCTCCTCTTCCCCGACCCTTGTCTCCTCTTGCCCGGCCCTTGTCTCCTCTTCCCCGACCCTTGTCTCCTCTTGCCCGGCCCTTGTCTCCTCTTCCCCGACCCTTGTCTCCTCTTGCCCGGCCCTTGTCTCCTCTTCCCCGACCCTTGTCTCCTCTTGCCCGGCCCTTGTCTCCTCTTCCCCGACCCTTGTCTCCTCTTGCCCGGCCCTTGTCTCCTCTTCCCCGACCCTTGTCTCCTCTTGCCCGGCCCTTGTCTCCTCTTCCCCGACCCTTGTCTCCTCTTGCCCGGCCCTTGTCTCCTCTTCCCCGACCCTTGTCTCCTCTTGCCCGGCCCTTGTCTCCTCTTCCCCGACCCTTGTCTCCTCTTGCCCGGCCCTTGTCTCCTCTTCCCCGACCCTTGTCTCCTCTTGCCCGGCCCTTGTCTCCTCTTCCCCGACCCTTGTCTCCTCTTGCCCGGCCCTTGTCTCCTCTTCCCCGACCCTTGTCTCCTCTTGCCCGGCCCTTGTCTCCTCTTCCCCGACCCTTGTCTCCTCTTGCCCGGCCCTTGTCTCCTCTTCCCCGACCCTTGTCTCCTCTTGCCCGGCCCTTGTCTCCTCTTCCCCGACCCTTGTCTCCTCTTGCCCGGCCCTTGTCTCCTCTTCCCCGACCCTTGTCTCCTCTTGCCCGGCCCTTGTCTCCTCTTCCCCGACCCTTGTCTCCTCTTGCCCGGCCCTTGTCTCCTCTTCCCCGACCCTTGTCTCCTCTTGCCCGGCCCTTGTCTCCTCTTCCCCGACCCTTGTCTCCTCTTGCCCGGCCCTTGTCTCCTCTTCCCCGACCCTTGTCTCCTCTTGCCCGGCCCTTGTCTCCTCTTCCCCGACCCTTGTCTCCTCTTGCCCGGCCCTTGTCTCCTCTTCCCCGACCCTTGTCTCCTCTTGCCCGGCCCTTGTCTCCTCTTCCCCGACCCTTGTCTCCTCTTGCCCGGCCCTTGTCTCCTCTTCCCCGGCCCGTCACCGTTCTTCCTCTGCCCGTCACCGTTCTTCCTCTGCCCGTCACGCTACTTTATTGGTCCCAGCCTTAACTCAGTGAGTTAAGGTTTCTTAAAAAAATAACACTAGTGGATCATTTGAAAGTATGTTCGAACATTTGCAACTGCCCCATACGCTTTATTATTCCAAATCCGTTAAAATCAGTACAAGTATTTTATATGGATGTTTCACATGGTGTTTTGTACTGTATAAAAATTGTGTTGCAGTGTGTTTATCTAAATGGACCTAAATGCATTCACACATGTTTGTTTTTTTTATGATTACAGTTCAGGTAAAATTCTCTACTTGTTGAATGTTCCGGGGAGTTATTACAACAACATTTTGGTTGTGAAATCAGAAGTTTCTGAACTGCTGGATGGACAAAAGCTTGGACCTTTGTGGTCTGTGAACACAACAGATATTTTAAGGTAATACACCAGAACTTAACTTTTACATTTTATATTGCCATAGTAAATTATTAAAATGTATATAGCAGTTAATATGATGAGAAAACATATGGGATCTAATTTGAAATTAACAGAAACATTTTGTTTACCTCAAGGGTAAGGGGTATTTAATATCTATCTTTTACACTAATGAACTTCCTATGTAACCATCCACTCAAAATGCATTACATTTTAAATTAGAAAAAATGTCTAATTGTATTAAAATAACACTTTTGATTCTTTCTGTAGTAAACCAGCACTGGGCTATTTCAAGAAAGATGCTTTGTCAATATTAATGGAAATTGGAATTGGAAATAACCGAAAGAAGGTTTGTTTTGTTTTTTATAACCAACAAAAATATATATCATTAGGTTTCTATTAGGGATGCACCGATACCAATTACCGTACTCCGTACATGTACAAGTACAGATACTTTTCGAGCTCCAAGACTAGACTAGTTAGGAGGCAGCTGTCATTTGTAAGGAGCACACGGAGCTCCTGGGATTTGTACATCTCTGTTTTAATGTATGATTTTGTTTTTTATAAATATAAATAAAGGGATGCAGGATAAGATTTTTGCTAGTACAAGTACTGATATATTTTTGTTGTCATGTGACAGGTTTCCTAAAACAATACAGACTAATGATTTCAGGACAGTGGTGGAGTGCCAGAGCCAGGTCCCAGCTGCAACCGGTGCGACCCTGGTAGTTCTGCACTGGTACTCGAAAAGTATCGGTGCATCCCTAGTTTCTATAGCTTTATCTCTCTGCTGCTTTGATGCACACATTTTTTTTAGTAACCTTTGGAACCCAAGATGAAATGTGGCACGCACCCATTTTTTCATGTAATCATTGCACCTTATTCAAAATTCAACCAGCCAGTGCTAATATCTAGCACATATCGTCTAATGTTTTATTCATATAATTCCAATGAATTTGTTATTTGGGCACATAGTCTCATGTTTTTTGAGGTGGCAAAGCAAAGTATGATAATGTTTTTATGGACGTTGCTGTGAAAACCTCAGATTTTATGTATGTTGCATCAAATAAAGAGATTATTTTTTTATCAGCATTTAGACACAACAGTCTCTTTTGCGTTTTTATATGGATAGTTGGTAAACCCAAGGAAACAAAAATAAAGCGACAATAAGAAAGTAAAACACATAAAGTAGCAGGCTTTGGGATTTGAGAACTGACAAGGATGTGCCACTAACCCAGATGGCAAAAGCTGCTGTACCTCAAAACATTCTTTTTTTAAACATATAGAACTTAAACTTTTCAATTTAAGACCTATGTTCAAATAATTGGAAGCTAATCAATAAAGCTGAACTCCAGGCAGAACTAATATGTTATTTTTGGAAAGGTACTTTCTTACCTTAAAACAAAAAAAATCTTCCCTCTCAGAAATTCATTCTGGAATCACTCAGAAAAATGGCAATTGTCCCTATATTTCTGTTTACTTAGACTGGTGGCCACTATACCTACTATTTCTCCAGCCACTAGTCTTGTAACCACCTCTCTGTAGTGCATTTTGTCAGCAAGCAGTAATGTAATCACGTGCCGCTTGCTGTGGTTGTCTGAGATTTCCTGTCTGATTCACTCACATTGTGTCGTTAAAGTGACAGGCCAGGGACGCCTGATCTGTACCGCACACAAAGACCTCACACTGTGACTGACAGGCTAGGAGACTTCGATTAGCAGGCTATACAAATACACACATACCCTCTGTGTCCTGCATTTCCATTTGCATCATGGGAAATGTGTTACTTCCCCGCGCAGATGTGACATGCGACAACAGCAAAAGTCCCACTCCCGGCACGAGGGAACAGCGCATTTTTTCAAAGAAGAAGAAGATAACGCCACAGGATATAAAATCTTCTTTTACACAAAAAGCAAGTCATTTTTTTTTAAATTTGTTGGCGGTTTAACGGGGCTTTGAGAGAGGGATTTGGAATGCTAAGTTTGCAGGATTCTTTAGGACAGCTTTAAGGAATAACTATCTTTTAACAATTACTTAACCACTTCAGCTCTCGCACTTGTACACCCCCTATGGTCCAGAGCATATTTTACATTTTTGCTAAAGGCCTGTTTATTCACCAATAACTTTATGTATATTGTATTTTTCCCCAAGACAAACAACGCATAGCCTTGTATACTGCTCCATACAGGAGCATAAAAAACTATTAGCTGTATGCATCTGAGTATTTTTTTAAGCCTGTGTAAATGAGCCATTAATGTGATGGGCAGCCTTACTGACCATAAGGAAGACTTGCGGGGTGAATTTCTGCAGGAAAAATCATTTTTCTAATTTCTGGATCTATTTATTATTTTGACATGTGGTTTAATTTTTTACTTTTAGTGGCACTGCCTTTGCAAGGGCATTTTTTTCCTTCCAGTATAACAACTGAGACGGGCATTTTTTTTCCTTCCTGTGAAACCACTAAAGTCTTCATTTTCTCAATACATAAACACATAAAATGTTTTCGTTCTTGACAGGGAATGCATTCACATCTCTGCAGAAGCATAATGTTGCAAAAGGGGTTGTGAATATTCTTTACAATGGTGAATATTTTGCTACCTTGGCTTGCAATATCAGCTAGCCAGAAAAGTTTATTCCTTTAGGTTTACATTATAAAATAGTACTTAGATCATTTTATTAGCTGCAGTAGTTACATTCTCATGCCTATGATTTTTACAGATTATACATTTGTAAACGAATTCACACTTTACATGTTTGTGCAGGTTATTATTGTTGATAGCAAAAGTGGGACTTTGCAATGGGAAATTGAAATGAATGTGGGAACTGCCAGACAAAATCCTGGAGTACTGAATACAGGAGACCACCGCTCCACCTTCCTTTTTTGGGGAGAATATTCAACAGATTTCAACAACACTGTGAGTTTATATGAGTTCAGGTTTACTCACCTTCACTAAAATGTGCTATTTTAGTGTGACTTGACCTCAAGGCATAGTGTGATTGTCTGGCCTTTTACTTGCTGCTAGAGTCCTGTGCTGTTCACTTGTTTGACTGCTTGTGATCCTGGTCCGCTTACTTTATGCTTGCTTGCCATTTCTTGCTGATTGCTTAGCTATAACAATGAAAATGTATAGATCAGCAACACATGGTTAGTAGATTAATGATCCATATCTTGATTACAGTAGACAAGGGGTAGGCATCCTCGGCACTCCAGCTGTTGTGAACCTACAAGTCCCATGAGGTATTGTAAGATTGTGGCAGCCACATATGTGACTCCCAGAGGCATGGTGGGATTTGTAGTTTCACCTCAGCTGGCGTGCTGAGGTTGCACACCCCTACAATAGGCTATAGTCGTAAACAGTTTAAGGGCCCTGTCACACCATATCCAGTGCGTTCTGGTGGAGTCCGAAATGCACTGGACCGCATAGATTGGGAGGGGGCATGTCGGTGCCATTCATGTCAATGGCACCACAGGAACGCCTCCAGCCTGCACCTGAATACAAGGTACAGAAATGCCCTCCGTTCCAGTGCAGTGCGATTGGAAAAAATAGTTCATGCAGCATTTTTTCTGATCGCACTGCAACGGAGCGGAGGGCATTCATGTACCTCACGTTCCGGTGTGGGCGATCACACTGTCTGCGGTGCCATTGACATAAATGAAACTGCCACACCTCCTCCCACCCCAGATGCGGCCTGGGCTGTTCTATCCGCTCCTGTGTGTTCCAGACTCGGACCACCCTGGAACGCAGTGGATATGGTGTGACTAGACCCTAAGTCACATGATCAGCTCTCCATGTATTCAGAGACGAAACAAAGCCACCTGCAGGGAGTGCACAGTAACACTTCCTCCCAAGTGCAACACAGTAGCAAGCAATGAAACACCAGTACATTTGAAAGTTCCACAATGCAAATTTATTGTATTAGTCTTAGCTGCAATTAAGGCCAGAATTGGCTGAAACACATTCAAAAGCTGCATGGCTTTTACCCTGTACTTGCTATGAAGAAAAAACTTGCATTGTGGAACTTTCAAAAGTGCTGGCATTTCCTGGCTTGAGACTATTGTAGTCTATAAAGAAGGATTTTTCTATCTACATTTAGTACACAATAGGGCCTTGTCAGAGTCTCATTCTTTTAAACTAGAGTGCACTCCTTCAAGCACAAGAAACTTTAAAAAAACACAGATCTAATCCTGATGATGTTAAAGAAATGATGGCCTCTCTGTAACTTCCCATTTCGTTTTTTTTTTCATTGACATGATCATGTATGCACCCCTGCATTCTTTTACTCATGTAAAATGTACTCAAACATGCATGCATTTACTGTATGTACACTATTCCAATAGTAGAGCATCTGACATAATGATATGGCTTCAGATAGGAGTGTTGGGTAAATATATACTGCAATTTGATTTTTTTTTAAAACAACGTTATTGATCAACTGCCATAGTAGAAATTTCCTTCAGGTGTTAGAAGTGGAAAGGCCACAATAGCAGTTTAAATGTACTAAATCCCTTATAGATCTGTATCACAGATGAACTATATTTGGATGACTTTAAATTAACGTATTATGTTGTCCATAGACCTAAAATGCCAGTATGCCTTTACATTTTCATGTTGCTTGTATTGTGTAATAAAATAAAGCAGACCTTTTACACTATCACAAATCAAATTCTACCAATGCATCCCTCTATGTATGATTATAAATAATAACCTAGACATGTCAGTTGTAAAATGCTGTGATTCTGAAATACTTACACTTGCAGAGCATTCACTTCCTGCTTTGAAAGGGCAAAATTATTTCAGTTTGGCAAAGCAATGCACACTGGGATTGCCTTGTCATCAGCAGAGCATTGCTGGGAAATCTCATCTGTAATCTCGGATCTCAGGGAAAGGCATGTTCCTCCTCTGAGATGATGTGCATGGTCACATGTCCTAGTCACATGTCTAGTCACATGTGCTAGAAATCCAGGAAGTAATAGGAGAGCTAGTAATCTGCCCTTAGTAAACATGGCCACAGTCGGAAGACTGGGGAAGAAAAGAGAAATAAGGTATGCAAAGAATACAAAGCCGGCAATTATCCAGAAGTATGTGTCTGTAGATTCTCATTACTAAACATTTCTAAAGGTGTGTTTGTTGTTCTTTTAAAGATAAGGGTAAAAGTCTGCTTTACGATTTGTAAGAGAATCCTGTACTGAGAATTTTGTAGAAACTGCCATGGCTGACTTTCTTCCAAAACCAGTATTTGCTTGGCTGTGCCTGGCCTCAATACTTTGAGTCACTGACCTAAAACAAGCATGTAACAAGTGAGTTTAGGGGAAACTCCTGGTCTGCATTCTTACTGTGGGCCAGTAAAAATATTAAATACCATCTTTAATTTAAAATAAAATACACAAATGGAGAGTTACAAACATAAAGTTTACTTAAAAATTAAACTGCATGCACATTTTTTTTGCAATCGCACTGCACGGCATTGCAAAATTCCAGCGTGGACGGAAGGCGTGTCTGGGGTTCCATTGAAATGAACGGAACCGCATTGCACCTCCCGCAGCAATTTGTCAGTTTGAACCTGAAAATTACTTTTTTTTCCCCCCACCTTTTAGATTTCTTTTTTAATAATTGTATATATTATATTAGACACTTTAATTAGTTTCATGGATTTTAAAATAATCTGAATTGCAAAACTCCCAAGCCAGACTTCCGGTTTACGGCGTCCAATAGGATAGGCGTGTGCAGCGTTGCTCCGTCCCGCTGATCTTAACCTGATTCTGATGGTGAGTCACTTCCCCCATGCCCCGATAGATTACTAGGCTCTTGCTTCCTCGGTAGCCTCTTACCTGAAGTCGGATATCATCTGCATTATATCCGATGCACTCAAGCAGCATCTGGGCCCCATTAATGCAGCTTTAGACTCGCAATCTAAACAAATCCACACAGCTGAAACCAGACTGAACGATGTAGAGGATCACTCTATCCAACACACAGGCAATCAGGCCTCTAAGGATCAGGCCTCAGCAACTCATGGAAAAAATCGATGATCTAGAAAATAGATGACAGAGGAATAGCCTTTGCATTGTGGGTCTCCTTGAATCTGTTCCCCTGAGAGAGCTTATTCATTTTTGTGCTACTGTCATTCCTCCAGTAACAGTCCATGAACCCATCACACTCCTGACCACTTTTTTCACTGCTGGGCGGGACCTACCACTGGCTCCAGGGCTCTGACAGCGGCTAACCACTTCCCTCCACAGCGAAGGACAGCCCTCTTACACGTGATTTTTTTAAACTTGCTGCATGCTCTGCCGAGCGGATTCTACTGCTTTGAGGTGAATGTTATACCTTACTTATGATTATGTATCTTGCCTCACTATCTTGTTGTTCAGCTTTGGCTATATTTGTCTCAATGCAACACCATGTATTTTTGAATTTTTGGGTGGGATTATGACGTCATTATGATGTCACAGGGTGTATTTGAGCTCAGGGATTGGTTGGTTTTCACGTAATGTTCTGCATTTATATGTTTTGTTTCACTTGCACTTTTATCACATGTCCTGCCTGAGGAAGGGCATCCTGCGAGACCCTGAAACGTTGCACCAAGTGTGATACATGCTGCATTTCCGTCAATAAACAGACGCATTTGGAGTACCGGTGTCCATATTTCTATTACTGTCATTCCTCAGGTCCTGGGCCTATCTGCCACATGTAAAGTGGAAATCGCTCACAGGATAGGCCCTCCTAAAGAGAATCAGAGACCAAGATCAGTAATTGTTCCTTATTTGGACTTTTCTCACAGACGCCAACTGCTCCAGGCTTATCGCTCCCAACATCATTTGATTGCTGCAGGCTTCTTACTCCTGCTGTTTGCAGATTATTCCTTGGCGCTCAAACAAAGAAAGACATTCTCTGAGGTTTGTTGGTCAATAAATGTATAAAGTTCACATTGAAATACCCCGCAGTTCTAAGAGTCACTGCACATGATGGGCATACAAGCAAAATGATTTGCACTATCGCTTTGTAAAACAAACTATGCCTCACCATCAAAAAGTCCTCCAAGGAAGAAAGAAGCTCGACACGTACATGCCCACTGATAGTGGTCATCTCTATCTCCAAGCTGTAAAAGCTCTTCAACTTTTATAGCTCGAGAAGTGGCCTGTTGTTTTATTAACCGCATATTAGCCGTTTGCAATATGTAACTGAATCTTTACTTCCATTATCTTTACTTGACGTGGACCCGCTTCTCTGCTTTGGCAGCATATGGTCCACCAATCCATTGATTCCCTCTGGGAAAAAAGGAAGCCACCTACTGTTTTTTTATGTTCTATCTTGTTCACCTTGTTGCTCTGGTCACATTTCTTACATTGGGAGGATTGGCATGGGGCCCTCCCACTCACCCAGAGTTGGATGTTTTATTATGGCCTTCTATGCCTTAGGACGCCAGTGGCTAGGGGTAGCGGGAGCTCTGGGACACCCGACTACATCCATCATAAACTCTCACTTTTTCAACTTCCATCAAATTTTCACAACCCTTTTGACATATGGGATCCACCTTTAAAAGTAGTGACATGGACTTCCGGTTCCGGCACCTGCAGAGCGTGTCGCACATGTGAGGAGCTCTGGATAATCGGTACTATCAAACCTGCATTTTACACCGGCCAGAGCTGCCACCGAGCTGCCACGCAGGAGGCGGGTAGCCACCATACCTAGCCTCTCCAGATGGATAAGTTAGTTGACCGATCCCGAGGTCCACCACGATCACTGCGGTCCACCAATTCTGGACCGGGAAAACTGGCGCGCGAAACCTGACGGAAGCCATGGAGGCCTCTCAACCGGTCTCACCGACGGACTCCGATGCCGAATCTCTATCGGACCCTGAACCATCCGTTGACTCAGCAAAAATAGCGGCGGCAGTGGCCAGACTGTTAAAG